CCAAATAGGACGAAATGCGCATCCTGGATTCCACTGCTAGCCACCATCCACCAATTGATTTAATCTTGTCTACTTGGCAGATTGGGTCATAAACAGAATTGTCTGTTCCCGAAAACTGCCATGATTTATTATTATTATTAGTAGTAGTTGTTGTATTACTTCTTATAGGTCTGTTGAGTTCCGAGTAGAACACAGGTCTTCAACAGTACAAATCTCCACTGTGGTCTGTTCTCTGTGGTCCTCTTGGAAGTTGGCCTGATGACTGAACATAATGTGTCATCTCCTCCTCATCCTCACCTCAAAAACGATCTCCTCCATGTCACCCTCATACTACCCACCTCCCAACTCGCCGTTTCCCAGTCACCTTCCACTCCAGGTGTCATTCCAACCAGCTGTCTACTCATCGTGAGCTCCATCCATCTCTATTCTCCTCACCATATTTGTTGGCCAAAAGGTTCTTGGTTGATTCCTTCCTAGAGTTTCTTGTTGCCAACGTTTTGTGGCTGGCCATCTTATCTTCATCATAGAGCCAATGAAGAAGACGGCAGCTGTTGATTGACGTGTGAAGTAGCCTGTTAGAAAGGCTTTTCGTCATTGATGTGGCAATTTTCTAATCGATATTGAAGAAGAAGAAGTAACTAACTTGACAGTATTGTTGAACAGAACCGGAAATGGTGAGAGATAAGTAAAGGATGTGACCTCTTTCAACGAATTCTGTTGGTAGTGATTGGTTCTTGCTGGGTTTTTTTTCTTTTCTTGGTTGGCTATTTTCATCATCTCTGTCTTCTCGACGTTCAACTGAAGTCCTGTCTTCTCTGCCTGCCAACCTCTTCTTCCACTTTATTGGTTTTCGCATAGTTTTATAGTGTGTGTGTGCTACATTAGACATAAATCATTCGTGAAATCAAGATTTTGTAAAGTCTTCTTATCCGTCCAACGTATTCCTATATTTTAGCTTCCCAATGTCCACCAAAATGAGGAATTTCATCGTATGTAGTAGTATTAGTCACCCCCAAACTATCAGTCTGTTTTTGACATAGAACTTTCCACCGATGTGCAACACTTCAAGTCGCCACACTCCCTTCATGTAGCACACAAAGCAACAGAAGAAAGTCGAAGAAATGCATAATAGGGACAGTAAACAGAGGTGTGAGACAAAGGGAACAGTAATAACGAAGGACGATATAGTTTCATGGGAAATCATAAGTTACAAGGAGTGGATGCATCTCCGCTCGCCATCGAGAACGATTTTGAGGTATATCGTTCCGTTCCGAGGACCCCAACTAATCAGGAAGTCTGCACCTTCCTACGTGACTTAAACTAACTGTTGTGGATTTCTTCATTGACTGATGAAATCATGTTTTGTTCTGACCACCGCTAGCTCTTTTCCAGCGTGATCCTATGTCACCTAATATCGCCCATTGTCGAGGAAGGTGATGACTGTACAGGTAAGCGTAACACATGTCCTAACCATCTCAGTCGATGTAATTTCACAGCCTCGTCGACTGATTTCTCCTCCTTACCTGCCTAGCACTCGACCGAAGCCTAACCTCAATATTGCTCACCCTATCATACCACTTCACACGGGAGACAGCTAATCTTTTCATGTCTTTCACTCTCAATGGCAAGGTTTCGCTCACAGTCATAAAGGTGGACGAAGCGGACTGGTGAGCAGTACACCCGCCCTTTCGTAGATAGCCAACCGGATATCACGTCTACGCCAGAGATGGCGTAAGCTCGCATATGCGAAACTAACCCTCTGTATCCGTGCTGAACTCGTCCTTTCCCATCAGGGCTCTACTTGAGATTAGACCTAGGGAGTGGTGTCATTCGATGGTCTCCTCAGGGTACGTCCGATCCATCTCCATTTCGTTTTATATACTTGTTGAGTAATAAGGCCTAATTATTATATTATTATTATTATTCTCTTGAGTTCTGAGTGGAACATAGGGCTGGTTTCAACAACATATCTCCAGTCTCTTCTGTTTCCTATCATCCTTTTCAGTAGGGTCCACGACCGCCTAAACTCTCCCATCTCTTCCTCACACAACCTTCTCCATGTCACTCTCACACTGATGATCCACTTATCGCTTCCCACTGGGATTCCACTCGAGCAATGGCCTGCATGGCGTGAGATATCATTCGACAGCCTCCTCAATGCATGTCCTATTCATCTCCATTCTCTCCTACATGTTTGTTGAACAAAAGGCTCTTGCTTATTGGTTTTTTCCCACAGTTTCGTCTTACTTATTCTTTCTGGCTACTTGGCTATTTGATCTTCAGTATGGAGCCAGCCAGTGAAGTGGATTATTAGTATTTCTTTTTATTCCTAGACGAACATAGGGCTTCAGCTGAGCGTCTCCATTGCCTTCGGTTCTATGACAGAGTTTTCACCTGGCTTCAATTCTGCCCACATGCTGTCATCTCCTCTTCACATCACCTCCTCCATGTCACCCCATCCTCGCATTGACGACCAACTCCTCGCTTCCCATTCAGTCAGGTTCCACTAGAGCAATAGCTTGTCTAGTGATGTCACTTGATGGTTTGTTTCCTCAGAGTATGACCAGCCAATCCACCTCTATTTCTTCCTGCTTATTTGTTGCACAATCGGTTCCTGATGGGTTGGTTCGTTCACTGCCACAGATCCCTGTTGCTGATCTCTTCTGGCTGGCCATGTGATCTTGAGTATTGAGCGAAGACAACTGTTAGTGAAGGTCTGTAGTTAGTTTGAGATGCTCTTAATTACTCACCAAGTCTCTAGTCCGTATAGTGAGTAGCACTGACTGACTTCACATTGGAGTTAAAAATCCGTATCTTATTTTCATTTTCATTCTGAGTGGTGATGATCCCCACCAAACAGACTTGGTGAGAGTAATGAAAGCTTTTCCGATCCTCGCTGCTTTTATATCCTCATCAGTTCCGCCCGTTGTTGAGACGATGCTTCCCAGGTAGGTATAGGAGGGTTGTTTCTTTCAGGCTCCTCCCAATAATACTGGCTGATTGTTGTCTGTTGTTGTTGTTAGCCAGGAATCTTCATCACCTTTGTTTTCTCTGTGTTCATCTGAAGGAAGTACTATCTTTGATGCTTCTTCCTCTGTCAACTTGTTGCTTTTCACTTGCATATCTTTCACTTTGTGTGAAATCACACAAATATCGGATCCAGGAAATCCAGATCCTCCAGGTTTTTCGTGAAGGTCCATTTTATGCCTGTTTCCTCATTGCCCGCTATCTGTCGCATTATCCAATCAACTGCGATCAGGAAAATAATTGGAGATAGTAGGCAGCCTTGCTTTACTTTCGTCTTCACTTCGAAGGATTCCGTGAAGTTTCCCGTTGTGGATTACTTTTAATGCACTTTTAATGTAGTTTCCAAATCACCTTTTGATTGACGCCACATTATCGAGGGCCTTTTCAAAGTAGATGATGTTGAAATAGAGAGGTGACTGCCATTCCGAGCTCTGCTAAATGATGATCCGTAGTGCGGCGATTTGATCAATTTTGATGTGGTTGTGTTCTCTGAGCTGGATGGTTGATTTGCGAAACTGTCATCACCCTAGTAGGTGACAACTTCAATTTGGTCAATACATGACTTGTTTCTCCTAAATTCAGCCTGTTCCGGTCGAAATTTTCATCCAGGGTGGCGTGTTTGATTCTCTCCAGGATGACGCGGCTTAGTATCAAGTCCACTGTTGTCTCTGGATCCGTTTTCAATGCTTCTGTTGGGATTCCATCTGGTCCTGCTGCTCTTCCAGGTTTTAGCATCTTGATTGCCTTCAGGACTTCTGTTCTCTTCGGGAGGTTGATGTGAAGTGGATAGCTGTTGATAAATGTCTGTAACTTGTTGGAAGTGTAAGTTTCTGACCCGTATGACAAGTTTTTACTTGACGATCGCCTCTAACTCTTCCTCCACCTAACCTTATATCAACTAACATCACTCATCAAAGAAGGCAGTGACTTGGCATAATCAATACAAGTGCCCAGGAAAGAAAACTATATCAGCAATCGTAAAAATAGTGGAGAAACAGACTTCAATAAAAAAAGAGAATACAAATTAACACATAAAACTCTTTGTATTCCATTCAGACCCCAAGAAACGTATAAATTCATATTATGTATATTATATCTATATTATCATTCTTGTATTTTGTTTAATTAAAAACTTCATTCAAGTATTGGTTTGTAGGGATTTTAATTGATTGGTTACAGGATTTCACCATGAGCTGACATTATAGTTAGACAGCCATTGGAAAACCAGTACTGGGAGTACTGGACAACTGTTTCGTCACTCTAGTTTGGGACTCTTCAACAATATGCACCCAAGGTATTTAATGTTTGACACTATGCCACAAAAACATCATATTGAACGAACTAGTTTGTGTAGGTTATCATCATTATATCTGAAGATGGGTGAGTACTGATGAAGAGTCCCAAACTAGGACGAAACAACACTCCCACGTTTTCCAATGGTTCTCTAACTAATGTCAGCTTATGATGAAATCCTTAAAACTTCATTATTTTTACTATAATAATAAGAAGAAGAAGGAGAATTAATTAATTAATTAATTAGTTAATAAAATGAAATTATTTCTGAATACCTTAAAAGTTCACTTGTTTACAAGGTTATATAACTCATTCTTATCTACCCTAACTATGTATGTATAGATAGATAGATGGATAGATATATACTTGTTTTCTAATTTATAAGAACTTACTTAGTTTATAAAATAATAAAATATACATAATACCATTTAATTAATGAAATATCTATTAACTAATCAATACTATATATATATATTTATATGTTTACGCGTATACATTCGACCAATTGTCTAAAATAATCGATAAAATTCAATCGATAAAATTCAAATTTAAATCAACTAAGACGATTAATGCTTCTGCTTTACATACAACGCAGGTGTTTGTTCAACTCATTGCCTATCTATCCATCTAATTAACTCAATAAAGAGAAGAAAGAAAAGAAAACAAAAGAGATGAAAAAGATGAAAAAAAAATCAGCTAAACATTCTTTATTAGAAAGAAATATTCTACATGGTCATCAATTAAGAGATTTATTTTTATTCGGTAAAACTGGTATCTCAACTATAATGAATTATCTACATGAATTAATTCATTCCTTAGAAGTAATGCTATTTCGTTCATATGCTATATCAAGTTATTTTAATGAAGTACTATTAAATCAAACAAAACGTCAATTTCGTTTAATGCTTAAATATGCAGCGTATATTACATTTGTATTATTTTTAGAAACAACTGTACGTATCCCAGATTCAACAATTCATGATATCAAATATTCATTTATATTAATTATCCCAATTATTTGTGCCTATTTATCTACATTGTTTCCATTGAAACATAATACTTATGTATTTATGTCATCAATTTTATGTATATGCTTTCCAATTATTATTTTATGGTCTAGACGTATGGCATTTCGATCAGATCATGGTTTATTGACACCAATTATTATCTTAATTATATGTATGTTTATTTTTTCACCATTAAATTTATCAATATGTATTTGTTCATCAGCAATTATAGTAGCAATTTATACTGTATTAAAAATTATTCATACCTCTGTTATTGATGATAGCGATTCTAAGCATAAACATGAACATCAAAGAATAGAAATACCCTATTTTGATATATATAAACGTTTAAGTTCATCTAAGTCACTTGCTCAAGTTGAAGCTGGTGTTATACAATCAGCAAATCAATATGATTCACGTATATTTAAACCAAATCGTTTAATTGAACAAATTATCACAGTGACATTATTATTATTACCAATATGTATTGTTGGTGTCTATTTACGTTTTGCTAATATATTAAAACAAAGATTTGCATTTTTAAAATTAGGTAAAAGTGTTGAAGCACGTAATCAGTGTAAATCAGCTTTAAAGCATCAAGTTCATTGGATTGAAGCTATTATGCCATCATGTATACGTGAAGAATATCAACAATTTCGTCAACGTAAATTATATCCAAATAAAGATATGTGGGTATTTAATAAAACTTATCAAAATGTTAGTATATTATTTGCTGATATTGTTGGTTTTACAAATATGAGTTCAAATAAAACAGCTTTACAAGTTGTTACTATGCTTAACAATTTATTTAATCGTTTTGATGATTTATGTTCATTAACAAAATGTGAAAAAATTGGTACACTAGGTGATTGTTATTATTGTGTCTGTGGTTGTCCTATCCCACAATTTGATCATGCAAAATGTTGTATTGAAATGGGATTAGGAATGTGTCGTATTATTAAAGTTTTTAATTATGATTATAATGAATCTGTAAGTATGCGTGTTGGTATTCACACTGGACGAGTAAATGCTGCTATCATTGGTATAAAACGTTTTCGTTTTGATGTCTATTCATACGATGTTATCATTGCTAGTGAACTGGAAAGTACTGGTCGAGCTGGTCGTGTACATGTATCACAGACAACCTTTGATTTAACTAAAAATTTATATAATTTTTCAAAAGGTGAACCATTAATTATTAAAAAAGAAGAAAAACGTGGTATTGCTGGTATGGAGTTGATTAAAACAACACTGGACACCTATTATGTTGATCCACGTTCATCATTATTACGTGAAAAACATGAAAAATTTGGTAACACATTAATTGATAATTTATTTTATACATCAAAACCAATACAACGTAAGCGTTTAGTAAAGAAAACATCAAATGACACATCATTAACACATAGAAAAGTATCTTCAAAAGCATCACCATCATCACCGCAACCCCCACCGACGCCAACATCAATAAATCGAATAGAATCTTCTTCATGTATGGCTTCAACAGCGATCACTTCATCTTCTACATTATTTGAATCTTATCATGATAATGCTGGTCATTTATCGTCTTCGTCATCTGAATTCTCCTCTTCATCCAAATCGTCATCCGCTTCATCCTCATCACCATCAGCATCCTCCTCCTCCTTCTCCACCAACTCGTCATCCTCATCAATATTCTCTCCATCAATATCCCCGAAAACCTCCTCTTTATTAGCTTATCGTCATTCAAGAGAATCAATGTCAAAAAGTTCTTTAAAAACAATTGCCACATATTTATCACAAAATCCTGATATCTATCAAGATATCTTTCCATCAAAATGGTCTAATATACAATGGAAGTGTCTAGGTCAGACCGTTGGAAGACATTATGAGTCGGTGATTAAAATATTTACTCGTGATATTAATTTAGTGTATAATTTGAAAACTGATAGTGAAAAACAATATGAATTATTTCGTTTACCACCATTACAACCATTATTATTAAAATTTTATGATCATGAAACAGAATGGCATTATAATTCATGCCTATCTGAGTATATAAGTTCAATATATATTGATTCACCAAAAGTTTCTGCTATCGGTGATGTATTCATCAATATGATATTAATGTTATTTTTAATTGCTAATTGTTTTATATGTTATCAACAAATAAAATTAACTTGGCGAACATTAACCATCTATATTGCTTGTTTATTAATTTATTTATTTCTTTGTGCATGTTTATTATTCACAGCAACCACATATAATGTTTTCATTAAATCAAGTCTATTAAAACGTTATTATAATCTCTTAGTGAATACATATATCCGTGAATTATGCATTGGAATTATATCTGTTATGCCAACTATCCTGTTATGCATATTCTTGTATACAGTTAATGATATCAATGCACTAATAGATCGTAGATCTTATATATCAGCGCTTAGTTTTCATTGTATCCTATTTCATGCAATACATATATCTTCGATAACAATATTTCGTATTCTTTGTATTTTATTCACACTAATATTATTAATTATAACAACAACATTTATTTATGCTAGTCAATCAGATATTGATATTTGTTCAAATACAACACGTTTTATCCATGATATCGCTTATGATACATATCGATTTATTTATTTAATTGAATTATTTGCTTGTACATTTTTAGTGATTGAAGTGACACGACAAAATGAAATTAATAATCGTTTATGCTTTTATGTATCACGTGAATCAGAAATTGTCTCCGATGAAGCAGAGTTAGCTGTCAATGAAGCTAAAGAATTATTATATAATATTATACCAAAATATGTTTTAAAAGAAATACAATTACATCGTCGATTTAATCGACGAATAAATTATCCAAAAACAACAACAACAACAACAAGGATAAAAAGAAGGAGAGGAAGTATTTTATCATCGAGTGAATCACTTGACTCTGATGCTGCTGGAACTGGCTTTGGCACTCGCGTTGGCGTTGGCACTTCACCTTCACCGATGACATCAATTCATTATGCTGTCACCATAACAAATGCTGCTGTCTCCTTTGCAACTATATCAAATTTTTTTTCAAAATATTATCGTGAAGATTATAAAGATGGTGTAAATGCATTGAAATTATTAAATAATATAATTTGTCGTTTTGATGAATTATTAAACAGTGATGAAATGCGATGTGTGGAAAAAATTAAAACAATTAACGACTGTTATATGATTGCGTCAGGATTAAATAAAGAAGAAATTAAAAGTTCTAGTTCCAGTTCTTCTTCATCTGATAAACATTTAATCACTTTATTGAATTATTGTCATTTAATGATTGATGAATTAGATAAATTTAATGATAGTTATATTATAGGTGGTGATAATTTCTCTATTAAAATTGGTTATAATATTGGAACACTGACAGCTGGTATCATTGGAACAAGTAAACCAATGTATGATATCTGGGGCGATACAGTGAATGTAGCAAGTCGTATGTATTCAACTGGAGTTGCAGGTGCAATACAAGTCCCAGAAAATGTTACTATCCGTTTAAAGGGATCCTTTAATTTTACATATCGTGATGTGGTTTTTGTTAAAGGTAAAGGGTTGATGAAAACATTTTTATGTAAACGATTGAATGAATTAGAGAACATAGAAAATGGGGGGAGGAAAAATAAATAAATTTGTTGATTGTTGTTGGTGCTCTTCGTCTTGTTTATTTGTTTATTTATTTGTTTATGTATGTGATTACATGGATTAATATGATGCTTTGAAATAAAAATCTTTATTATTATTTTCTTTAATTCCTAGAGGTACGTACGGCTTCAGCTGCGCTTCTTCATTGCCTTCGGTTCTGTGACAAAGTTTTTACCTAGCTCTAAGTCTGCTCACATTCTGTCATCTCCTCTTCACATGACTTCCTCCAAGTCACTCCACTCTTGGACTGACGACCAACTCGCCACTTCCCTTTCGGGTTCCACTCGAGGGCTTACCTAGTGATGTCACTTGATGGTTTGTTTCCTCAGAGTATGTTTTTTTATATTTTATATTTTCGATTACAGCTTGATTCCACACCGTATTTTTGGGACAAGTGTGGAATTTTCAGCGTGGATATCGGTAGCCCAAAATTCGCAGGCCGACCATAGATATCAAGTGTGCGTCGGCGTGGGCTCGAACCCCGGACCATGTGCATGGTCGGCGAGAGTCCTAACCACTGTGCCACCGACCAGCCAATCCACCTCTATTTCTTCCTGCTTATTTGTTTCACAATCGGTTCCTGCTAGGTTGGGTTGGTTCGCTCATTACCAGAGATCCCTCACTGTTTCTGATCTCTTCTGGCTGGCCATGTGATCTTGAGTATTGAGCGAAGACAACTGTTAATGAAGGTCTGTAGTTTGTTTCAAGTGTTCTTTATGACGCACCAAGTCTCTGATCAGTATAGTGACTGACTTCACATTAGAGTTGAAAATCCGGATCTTATTTTCATTTTCATGCTGAGTGCTATTGACCTCCACATAGTCTTGAGAGTAATGAAGGCTTGTCTTGCTTTCCCCATCCTGGCTGCTGTGATATCCTCATCAGTTTCGCTGGCCTGTAGTTGAAACGATGCTTCCCAGATAGGTAGGTAGGTAGGTAGGTAGGTGGAGGAGGCTGCTTCTTTCAGGTTCCTCCCATTTATGCTGGCTGATTGTTGTTTGTTGTTGTTGTTGATGTTGGTGGTGTTGGCCAGGAATCTTCATCACCTACCTCTGTTTTCTCTATGTTCACCTGAAGTCCTATCTCCCCTAGATGCTTCTTCTGCCAAATTGTTGCTTTTCACACGCATAGACCACGCAGGTTGTGGCAAATCAGACATTTATCACATCGGCGAAGTTCACATTCTCCAAGTATTTTGTGTGAGCTCATTTTACGCCTGTCTCCTCGCTGCTCGTCGCTGTCTGTCGCATTATCCAATTATTAAAATCATTGGTAATAGTAGGCAGCCAGCCAGCCTTGTCTTACTCCCGTCTCCACTTCTAAGGATTCCGTGAGTTTCCCGTTGTGGATTACTTGGTATGCAGTACTGTCGTACAACTGTTGGATGAGATGTGTAATTGTCGGCGTCATCCCTTGGTAGTAGCGAAGTGATTGCGCAATCACCTCTCGATCGATGCTGTCGAAGGCCTTTTCAAAGACAATGAAGTTGAGTGAGGTAGAGAGCTGACTGCCATTCCGAGCTCTGTTCAATGATGATCCGTAGTGTGGTGATTTGATCAATACACGACTTGAATCTCCTGAATCCAGCTTGTTCCGGTCGAAGATTTTCATCCAGGATGGCGTGTTTGATTCTCTCCAGGATGATGTGGCTTAGTATTTTGCTTGGGATGGACAGGAGCATAATTCCCCGCCAGTTTTTGCATTGACTTAAGTCTCCTTCCTTTGGTAGTTTGAAAAAGTATCCTTTCTTTCAATCTTCGAGTACTTTGCCTTCTTTCCCCACCTTCTTCAGTAATGGCGTGACCAAGTCCGCTGTTGTCTCTGGGTCCATTTTCAATGCTTCTGCTGGGATTCCATTTGGTCCTGCTGCTTTTCCAGCTTTTAGCATCTTGATGGCTTTCAAGACTTCTGTTCTCGTCGGGGAGTTGATGTTCACCGGTAATTCTGCTTCCATTGTTGGTATTATTGGGTGCGTTGTAGGTAGCAGCCAATTTAGAAGTCTTTTGAAGTGTTCCACCTAGTGTTTTCCCCGCTCCACCTCTTTGGTGATTTACTTCCAAGTATATAAAATATATTAGAGGATTGTGTTACTTTTAAGTGTTGGTTTGTAGAGATTTCACTTAATTCGTTAAAGGATTTTATCATGAAGAGCTGATGATATCGGTTAGAGGGGGAGAGCTATCGGAAAACTAACTAGGGAGGACTGAACCTAGTGCTTAGAACTCTTCATCAGTACGCACCTATGCACCGCGACAAATCCCACCTGTTCCTAAGAAAACTGTCTTCATGAACCTGTATTTCAAAGGTCACATTGAAGCAGAAATTCTTAGAAACCACCTTTCTAAGTGCCTAAAGAAGACATTTCAAGCAACCAACTTACGTATCACATTCTTGAGTAGACACTTAATCCAGTCTAACGTTGAGGAATGAGACACCGCTTTTGGTCACTTCAATGTGTCTTTATCAGTTTACTTGCTCGTGAGGAGTAAAGTACATCGGCCGTAGGCAACATCAAGTCTCCAAACGTATTCTGGAACACTGTCCAACTTGGTTAGCCAGACGAGAAAAGAAGAATAGCAGCAGCTCCATCCTAGAACACCTTGTCAACTTTGGATATCGAGCAACCCCACGTGAATGCTTCACAGTGCAGCACAGAGTCCCTCAATATCGTACAAAGGGACTTCACACACGCCATCTGAACATAGCTGAAACATTGGCTATTAGAGATATGAAGTCGGACCTCTGCATTCAAAAGCGCTACATACGCTGTCACGCCCTACCATGGCCACAGTAACGTTCTGACTATAATTTTGCTTCTTTTCTACTACGTAAATTTACTATTATTATTATTATTATTCTCATCATCCATATTTTATTATCACTCTATTACTGTTTATTTATAACATTGCGTTTTCATACCGATTTCATATAATAACACGTTATCGTCTTTCCACTAGTTCCTCTCCACTCTACACAAGCTTATTGATTAGTTATTATCTCACACCTATTATGTCATGCCAACTTATGCCACCTTTTCTAACTTCCAATTAGTCATCCCTTCTAGGTTACAACTTATATTGAGTAATACATTTTTCAAGGACAAAGTTTACCAGTATCTGGATGGTCCTACGAATTCTTTGTTAAATATAATTACGATTGGCTACAGGATTTCATCATCATGAGCTGACATTGGTTAGAGAACCACAGGACCACCAGTACTGGGAGTACTGGAAAGCTGTTTCGTTAGAGTAGTTTGGGACTCTTCAGCAGTATGCACCCATTGTCAGCTTTCGAACCCACGATCTTCTGGTTACAAGGCGAGCTCATATACCATGGCCCATAAATTCTAACTTCTACCAGTTCACGACATAGCGTAACCCCTAACCAATATCTTCGGTGAGCGTTTGTCCTCACACCCGACCTGCTGCACCCTACTGGTCACAACGGCTTAATGGTCTACGAGCTACCTCGCCTTGTAACCAAAAGGTCCTGGGTTCGAACCATAGCGGGGTGGGTACGTACTGATGAAGAGTCCCAAACTAGGCTGTCGAAACAGCTGTCCAGTACTCCCAGGTTGTTTTCCAATGGTTCTCTAACCCATACCAGCTCATGTCATGATGAAATCCTGTAACCAATCAAATCCCTACAAATCAACACTTCAACAATTACGATTATTGTACAGCAGCTGATGAAAATGAATCGTCGAAAAGAAAATTTTCTTCATCTCTGTTTACCTCGTCTTTTTTTTATTACTCAAGATGGGACATATTTCGTTCATTAAAATGGTGATTGTTAATCGTTTCTATTTGATGAATAGGGTTGTTTTCTCCTAACATCAAGCAAGCGAGGGAGAGAGAGAGTGATAAGTAAAATGATACATTCAAATAAACATAGAGATAAGTTCATCACATGATTGACTGTAAGCATACCTTACTAACTTTTTTTGTACTTATTTAGTAAATTATTGATTTTCTTTCTTTCGTGTACTATTTGTTCATATAAGTATTAAGAGTTGGCAAAAGGACTTATGTGTGTGTAAGTGTGTGGGTGGGTGGGTGGTTGGGTGAGAGAGTGAGAGAGAGAAGATGTGGGTGTGGATTTATGTTTGATTTTAACAGTAAAATGTTTGATTTACAATCAAAAAAGTGGAACTAGGCACCTGGCAACTATGTACACATATTTTGATGTGGTTGTGTTCTCTGAGCTGGATAGTTTATAATATTGCGGAGCTCAAATTGCCTCCTACTAGGTAACATCTTCAGCGAACACTTCAATTTGAATTCAAGTGAGCTTTTAGATTTCTCTACGAGTTTATTAGCCATCTCTCCTGGTAAACTTCAACGTTGTGATTAGTTGCTTTTGTGTGCTTTCACACCCTCTAGGCGGCTACTTATATTGGTGCTGATTGTTTCCTCGACCTGACGTTTGACCCTTCGTGTGTGTGTGAGAGAGAGAGAGAGAGAAAGAGATTTCCTTCTTGTCAATTGGTAAATTTCGTCTATTGTTGGTATTAGATTGTTGGAGGTAATCGGCCACAGGAAGCCTTGGACCTAGGTTTCGTGCTAGTTGGCACTCATCAGCAAGGCGTATCTGCAACCTTGAAGGAATTCATGTCCCTTTTGAGATTCGAACCCGCAGTGGCCACCCTGCAAGCTTGACTGATCGAATTCAGTCTGCACCGAAGATAGGAGTAGACACATTACACAGTAGTTACTGACTAGGGTCCAATCAAAAATTTCGTCTATATCAATCAATATGTCTGTTAATCGACGATTCACTGGAATACCAAGCAGCCCTCTAAAAGTTCTCTAGCACTTTTGGTGTTTCCTCTATCCAATATTTCAACGTTGTTCCGGTTGAACTGATGTCCTTGATCGTCTGTATGCAGAGATATGAGCAAGGAAGTGGATATCAGCATGTCTTTTGACGGCTAACTTATAATCATGGATACGGAGACGAAGGGGACGTCGTCCACTTTAGCTAAT